TGTATATGTAATAAAAGGAATGTTTGAATGGGAAAATGACACCTATACATAAATGAGAAAATACAAGTATTTTACAATACAAGTTTTTATTAACTGCCTAAAAGACTTTAGCTAAAATGTTCCCAACATAACCTGGTCCAAACACATCAGTGTTTTGTGGAAATACAAACTTGCTTCAGGAAGTTATTTGGGGTGAGTGGTTGGGGGTTTAAATTTTTCAGAACAGTGAGGGGAGGAGATGGAGTGGGAGGTGTTTTTTCTGAGAAGCAGAGCAGGAGTGTAAACCTCATTTCTCTCGTTTTTTGGAGGCAACCGTCTGTGGAGTCTCCAGCATGCGTAAAAACAAGATGTGCGCTGCTCCTTTCAACCAGCCGAGACTGACGCAAACATCCCACTGAACTCCAACCACCGGACTTTTACTTTACAGCCAACACCTTGTGCACATGTGACGCTTCATCAGAACCTGTTCTAGGTTATCACGTGGAGCAGAGCCTACTGGATCTGAGCTCAGGACACTGTGCGCCTCCAAAAACATGTAAAATGTGATGCGTGCACCCTGCGTGGAACAGTCAGAGTCAGACCGCAGGATTTCATTTGTCACTATTTTGTGGCACAATAACAAAGAAATTACAACCATGATGTTTTTAAAGGTTCAGTTTGTCCTTGCTTGCTTTTATTTGAATGTGCAAGAGGGTTCATCCAAAGATTATGAGGCACACATTGGGGACAACTTTCATTTACTGGTAAGAATGTTTTTAAAGTATTACAGATTTTATGTGATGTACAAGGTGAAAGAGTGGTTAGAACTGTAGCCCCACAGCAAGAAGGTCACAGGTGCACCTTCTGCCCTTTCTGTCTGGAGTTTACATGTTCTCCTCATGAACCTACTAGGGTCTCTCCAGGTACTCAAGTTTCCTCCCACAGAATAAATTCATGCATGTTAGATTCATTTGTAACTAAATTGTCCCCAGGTGTGAGTTTGAATCTGGATGGTTGTTTGTCTCATTTGTCTCCATATGTCCCTGTGATGGACTACAGACCTGTCCAGGGTGTCCCCATGTTTAACACAGTGACCGCTAGAGATAGGAACCAGTGACCATTGCGAAAGAAGGTGGATGGATGGATGGATGGATGGATGGACGGACGGACGGATGGACGGATGGATGGATGGATGGATGGATGGATGGACGGATGGATGGATGGATGGATGGACGGACGGACGGACGGACGGATGGACGGATGGACGAATGGATGGATGGACGGACGGACGGATGGATGGCACCAGAATACTGTGAGCACCAGGTTTTCAGTGGGGTCCAGGTGTGGATGAAGGGCCGTCAGATGAAGACGCTGTCATGGCCAGCCCTTCCTGAACCTCTCTGAACACGTCAGGAGTTTGATCAAGACGTCCAACAGAGGAGCTGATTTTTATTTTTTTAACCACGAGTAGCAAACGATCCCCCAACAGCAACGTGGAAGACTGATGGAGAACATGGCAGCCGGGATTTAACGTCAGAGTTATGGCATCAAACACTGATTTAGGATCACTTCGTTACTGGCATGTTTGTAAATGAATATATATATTTTGTATTATCTGAAAACAGTTGACCTTTTCTCTTATTCTGACCATTTGTCATGTTTTGCAAAGAAATGCTCTAAATGAAAAGGTTTTTACATTAGCAAGACAAATATGTTAATTCTGCTCAAACATGTAAAATTCTCTGTATTTTGAGGGCTTGCCTCTCCCAGTTTGTTTAGGTTAAGGTCTCACCAGTGCTCAGGATATTTGGGAATGAACGGACACAGCAGTGACTTGTGTGCAAAATGAACAGGCACACAGCCCTGGCTGCCTGTGTACAGTGAAGGCATTTATTTTCAGCTCCACTTCCCCTCCATCTTTTCATGAATGGTTCTGATTCACGCTGTGTGACACAGAACATTGACCCGATCCTCACTTGGGCCGATTGTGAACATTATTTCATTTAGCTGGCACACGAAGGAAACTTTTAGTTTGACCCTTTGTCCTGTACAACATTTTCAGATGCTAATTCTTAAGAGCACTGATGATAAATACTACAGAATCTCTTTCTTGCTTTTTTGATTTGTTGCTTTTTGTTTTGTTTTTTCCAGAAAACAAAACGTCAAACCAAGTTCACTAGATCAGTGGTAAGTCTGTGCGTGTTGCACAACACTGCTGTAATATCGTCATGTTTTTAGTTCTGTGTCAAGACTGGAGCTCCGGTCTCATAAAAAACTCAGATACAAAAAGTCTGTTGTCATTTCCAAAGAAATCACAAATGTTGAAACCATGTGAGGTGATTTTATTTTGTTTAGCTGACAAAATGAAATTATACAAATAGAATAAAGAGAACACAGAAATGTGTACAAGGTTCAGTGAAATCATAAAAAAGGCTCAAGATTAATTGTACAGTAAGCGTGTTTTAATAATAAAAGTCAACAAGGGCTCAATCTTCATTTTGTCCAAAATGGTGTGGTGGGGGGTGTTCAAAACCACCTGGGGTGTTTCATTAAAATCTATTCATCTGTTCCTGATATATTTTGCTAACATGACAGACAAATAAAACAACACAATGGTATAAACCTACTGACTTTTAGCAGGGGCTGATTTTAAATGTCAGTCATTTTCTGATCCTCTTCCAGGAAAAGTTTTTTGTTTGATTATAAAATTACATCACGCCCTTCTGAAATTTTCAAGTGATGTATGTTTGTTCTGTGAGCAGCTGAAGGTGACAGACTACCATGTGAAGTGCACGGTGGTGTCCCGCTACGCTGTCACCACCGTGCAGAGCTCAGTCTGGAACCAGCTCCCCATCATTAAGGAGGCAGCCTTTGAGGTGGACCTGCCCTCCTCTGCTTTCATCTCCAACTTTACCATGTGAGTCCACAAACAACGTCTTACTCTTTAAGTCCATCCATCCATTATCTTTTACCCGCTTCTTCCATTTTGGGTCACGGGGGTTGCCGGTGCCCATGTCCAGCAGTGTCCAGCAGCTGTGTGAGGGGCGGGGTACACCCTGGACAGGTCGCAAGTCCATCACAGAGCCAAAACTGATACATGCTTTTCAAAAATTGTCACAGAAAAAAAAGCTGAAATATTTTGTGTACATTAGTTTTTACTCTGACGCCTCTACCTCCAATCCTGAACAACGATTTATCTTCAGAAGTCACCTATTAGTCAACATGTATGTCTCTGTATGAATACAGCTGTTCTGTGAGCCTTAGAGGTTTGTTACAGAACAATAGGGATCCAACAGAATCATGAAGACCAAGGAACAATAGCTTCTCACATAACTTTGTCCAATCCATCATCTGAAAATGGAAAGAGTATGGCACAACTACAGAGCCACCAAGACCTGGCAGTCCACCGACAAGTGCTGGTCGTAAAATTAGAATATTGTGAAAAAGTTTATTTATTTTAGTAATTCCATTCAAAAAGTGAAACTTGTATATTATATTCATTCATTACACACAGACTGATATATTTCAAATGTTTATTTCTTTTAATGTTGATGATTATAACTGACAACTAATGAAAACCCCAAATTCAGTATCTCTGAAAATTACAATATTACTTAAGACCAGTAAAAAATTGATTTTTAGAAATGTTGGCCAACTGAAAAGTATGAACATGAACAGCACTCAATACTTAGTTGTTGCTCATTTTGCTTGAATTATTGCAGCAATGTGGTGGTGTGACATGGAGTCCATCAGTCTGTGGCACTGCTCAGGTGTTATGAGAGCCCAGGTTGTTCTGATGGTGCACCTTCAGCTCTTCTGAATTGTTGGCTCTGGTGTATCACATCTTCCTCTTCACAATACCCCATAGATTTTCTATGAGGTTACAGTCAGGCGAGTTTGCTGGACAATTAAGAACAGGGACACCATGGTCCTTAAACCAGGTGCTGGTAGCTTTGGCACTGTGTGCAGGTGCCAAGTCCTGTTGGAAAATGAAATCTGCATCATAAAGTTGATCAGCAGCAGGAAGCATGAAGTGCTCTACAACTTCCTGGTAGACAGTCACGTTGACCTTTGACCTCAGAAAACACAGTGGACCTACACAGCAAATGACATGACACCCCAAACTATCACTGACTGTGGAAACTTGACACTAGACCTCAAGCAACATGGATTCTGTGCCTCTCCTCTCTTCCTCCAGACTCTGGGACCTTGATTTCCAAAGGAAATACAAAATTTATTTTCATCAGAGAACATAACTTTGGACCACTCAGCAGGAGTCCAGTCCTTTTTGTCTTTAGAGCAGGCAAGACGCTTCTGATGCTGTTTCTTGTTGAAGAGTGGCTTGACACAAGGAATGTGACAGCTGAAACCCATGTCTTGCATACGTTTGAGCGTGGTGGTTCT